TTTAAGGCTCGTTCATTTAGATGGCCTAAGCGTTYRTGCCAAATAGATGAAGAGCATTTATTAGAAGCAAAGAAAGCAGTAAAATCCTTGTTGAYAGCAACTTCTTGTTCCTTTAAAGCATAGAGTCCATCTCWTCTAACTCYYTTGGCCATGATCAATCCCTRTTTGTTCTTCACAATAAAATGGTCAGCAAAAAATTCAATAGAGCAATCATTATCCGAGGTCAGTTTACTAACAGATAACAAGTTCTTTTTTATRTCARGAACTACTAGTACATCATTTAAAAGGAGTTTATTGTTTCYTGAGTTTATTGTGCTCTTGCCTATGTGAGTAATTTTTAGTCCTTCTCCATTGCCTACATATACTTTATCTCTACCATTGTAACTTTTTATACTAGTCATCTTACCAGTGTTATTGGTGATGTGTGCTGTGGCTCCAGAATCAGTGTAGACTRTGGGGTCTCCATMCTCAARAAGACTCATAGCTGCAAGCGCTTTTGGTATATCTTCGGATTGATACGAGTGGTCAAACCTATTCCAAYAGTCAATWGCCACATGATTTGTTTTTCCACAAATTTGACATGTTACCTGGTCTTTAGATTTGGTAGGAAATTRTTTTGTTGGAGCAGAATGAGTGATCTCCTTATGAAAGGTCTGTTGAGCAGAGTTGGAATTGTGGAAGTTTTGTTGTCTGTTTTGAAGGAAACCCCTTCCTCTAGAAGAAAATTGTCTTCCTCGAACTCTACTTCTCCCTCTTTGACTATAGTAAGCATGATTGTGATTGATTTGGGAGAATTTTTCTTYTTCAACTTCAACAGATAGCATTTGAYCATGTGCTTTGAGAGCCAAGATAAACTGATTAAAAGTAGGATATGGGGGCTTTGACAACATTGCTGTTCGAAAACCTTGATATTTAGTTCCTAKTCCTCTAGCTAAATGAAATACTTTTGTGAGATCATCCMAGGGCTTTTTGATTGCAGCAAGTTTATCACATAATCCCTTGAATTTCTTCMAGTATTCATMTAAAGTTAGAGAACCCTTCTTCAAAGTAAGAAGATTTTCACTTATGTGAATTTCACTTTCTTTGGTCATTGTAAGGAGTTGATCTTCTAGAGATTTCCATACCTGATATGACGTTTCAGTACCTTCAATCATGCTCAGAATTTCTTCAGATATGATCCCCAACAACCATGAGGTGAGAAGGCCATCATTGTTAGCCCATACTGTATGCAGAGAATTGATACTTGTGGTTCCATCCTTGTCTTCCGTTTCATAATCTGGTGCTTCTTCACTTGTCAAATGGTGTTCTATTCCCATGCTCCTGATTAGAGGAAGAACTTGTGATCTCGATAATAAGTAGTTTCCAGAATTAAGCTTAATTGAGATAAGACTGGTGCATTGGTGGAAAGATTGTATATTGAGAGCAGTTTCTGTTTTTGCCCTGAAAAGAATTTAGATGAATTGAGGTTGAATTTCTCTAGCAGATAGGCGCTCTGATACCATAAAACAAATTCAACCTTGATTCAATTGAAATAATTCTCATACATGTTTTTCAAAGACAAACTATATAAATCTTATACACCAATATCACCTATACCTRCTGTCAATTTAGGAAAGGATTTGACGGCAGGGGTGGCTGTCAATTAAGGAGGTAATTGACAACAATTAGAACTTGATTTTAGGATAAAGAAAGGTAAGATAAAYCAACGGTAATAATCCCTTTATGGCCTAAATTATGAAAGATACAAATGCCATAAATAAAAGGATTTACCAATTAATACAAATGCCCCAAAGGTGGCTAGAATTATGAGTTTAGTAACGGTCTAGTTGGTGTATGTTTGTTGCTCATTTGGCATTGATTTGCTGTCTGCATTTATAGGAAGTAACTATGGTATCTAAATAAGGACAATTATCTCCATTGGTATGAGGTATTTTATGTGAAACCAATGTCGATCATGAGTGATATGCTGCCCAAGGCAGATAATATTATACTACGATAGAGATACTTGGGTACGAGTTTGTAATAATTTCAAATGAAATGAAATTATTAGTTGATTTATTTGGTATGATTGATTAGACACGGATAGAGGAGCATGTGGTTATGACAAGTTGGCGTTGGAATTTAGTAATGGCAACTTTGCCGCTGTTGCGCCTGCTCTCTACAAACAAGGGGCTGGTTGTGGTGCCTGCTATCAGGTATAATATATATATTTCTTTTTCTCTCCCTCTTTTTAATTTTCTTCTTTTCAGAAGTTTTGTTTTTATATTTGGCTATTGAGGGTAATTGTATTTGATTTTGTAGGTAAGATGTAAGAGCAAAATGTTGTGCAATACAGCAGGGACTAGAATAGTTTTGGTAAGCCAAAACTACGATGAGAGAACAGATTTTGTCCTTAGTAAAAAAGCTCTCTCTGCAATGGCTTTAAAGGACAAGGAACAAGAACTTTTGAGTTCTGGAATCGTTGATGTAGAATACAAAAGGTAAACCCTAGCTAGTTTTGTTCATTATAACTTGACCATGACCAATATATATATATATATGAATGTTAAGGATACCACGAAGGAAGTTTATAATAGATATGAGTTATTTCTCTCCTCTTAAATTGGTTTTGAGATGAAACCTTTATATGATATCAGAGTTCAAAATCCTCAAACAAGTATCCAGTCCAAAAGTAGGATCCGATCAATATCAATGAATCAAAAGAGCCACAATGTTGAGGGGCTTGTTAAGGATCTCACACTCGTTTTTGCTTCTCTCTTTGGTCATCAAAATCTACTCTTTTTTGTAATTATGATCCTTCAATCATTTTTCTCAACGGGAGAACTTTTATTTTAAGCCGTCTCCTCTGATCCTCACATACATCAATGAAGTGATATCTTCCAAAAAAAAAAAAGACAAATTTTGATATGGTATCAGAATCTAAAAAACTCAAATGAGCATTTGGTTTGTCAAGATTGGTGAACTCAAAAGAGACACCATCTTGAGGTTCATGTCAAAGATCCTACGTTGAAAAGATAAGGAATCTAAATAAGAGTTTATAATATAAGTGGACTACTATTCTTATTACCAATTAGTTTTGAGACGAAACTCTACGAATATTAATAATGAAAAGCTAATCAAAGTCATTTTATTTTGGTGGGTTTTGATCTATGTTGCAGGATACCTTGTGTATACAAAAACAAAAATTTCTGTTCGAGTTGAAGAATCAAGTTATTACCCAAGCTATATAGCCTTCAAATTTTTGTACCAAGGTGGCCAAACAGAAATAGTAGCTGTTGACATAGCTCAAGTATGCTAAAATCTCACCCAAAGTTATGATCAGTTATTGAATCAAAAAGTTGAAACAAATCAAACTCATCGATCATTTTTGGTATTAATTGTAGGTTGGTTCATCCGATTGGGTGTACTTGAGTAGAAACTCTGGAGCTACTTGGGAAACCAAAAGAGCACCCAAAGGAGCATTGCAGATGAGAATGAGGGCAACTTCAGGATATGATGGAAAATGGGTTTGGGCAAAGGATGTGCTTCCTGCTGATTGGAAAAAGGGAGTCATTTACGATACTAAACTTCAAATTGATGATATTGCTAAAGAGGGTTGCTCTACATCAGAGTGTGGGGATGAAGAATGGAAATGAACTGATGCACAATAAGCGTTGTCTAATAAGTTTTGTTTACAGGGGTAACATGAGCATRGTGATAATTTTTGGCGTAGTACAAAAAAAATTTGAAAATGTTATAATTGTCTAGCTAATTGTTCAGCTACGCCACGAAAAATTCTTCACTTCTTTAACATGTTGGGGGAGGATTTGAACTCACAACCTCTTGAATAGAGGTTTGCTCGTTTTGGCTATATTTTTTAAGATTTTCTAATATATTTTACAAATTTAATAACATCGATCTTAGCTTTCCGTACTCTCTCACTTTTTTTTTTTTTACAACATGTGAGGTAAGAATTCAAACACATAACCTTTGAGTCGAACATATATATTTTAACAAGTTGAGTTTGACTTCACGTTGACCTTTTTGTATTTATTATTTTAGAGGGTTACCCTTAAAATAATGAAATTAAGATTTGAACTTACTRACTTATAAAAAAGCAATTATCAATATATGACTAATTAAGGATTTATTTGGTAATACTTTTACTTTTTTTTTCGTCTTTTTCAATTTGAAAAAAACAAAAATATGTATGATAACTATTTTTTTTCTTTCATTTTTTATTGAAAAACGAAACCAAAACATGTTTTAACTATTTCTTGTTTTTTTCTCTTTAAAATTTTAAATAAAAAAATAAAAACATTTTATATATGAAATTTATTTTTTTAAAATGTTAAATATTAAAGTGTTTATGTTATATTAATAACGTTTTAAAGAAACCCACCAATTTCTTTAAAACCTTAATTTTTGTTTTAGGTTCAAGTGTGACACAAAATTAAAGAAGTGGTGGCAGTGTATTGGCAGAGATGAAGAGGTCGAGTTCTCGAGTCGTTCTCATTAGTATTGTGTACTGGTTGTTTCATTCTAGCTTGTATTCCTAATTACCTACCGATCTAGCCTTCAGAAGCTAGGTGATCATTATTATGGCATCTAGAGAGCGAGTTAGAGAGTTGCGAGGCTTATTGTATATAATTATTCCTATCATAGTGCATCATAGTACTGAAACCTACGTAGTGTAGAAACTGGACATAGCCTCAAATTTGGGGTGAACCATTATATGATCTTTGGTGCTCATTTATGTTTACTTATTTTTCCTTTATTACGTATTGATTAGACTATAACTTGCTCGAAGGAGAAAAACCTAATTAGATCATGTTTGATAGCTTGTGTTCGAGTACTAGTCGATAGTTGTTATACTAATGAAGTTTGAAATTTGAAATAATTGAAAAAATGATTTTTCCAATAATATTTGAAATGGTTCTAATATCTTAAAAAAAAAAGTATATATATATATTATACCTAACTCGACACAAGAGGGCACAGCCCTAGAACCTAGGTAACAACACTCAAGTCTCTTGACCTAAATCTTTCTCACTTTCCTTCTCCTTCTATCCCGACTCTCCGAATTCTACGTAACCTTCTACCTCTCTCCCAAATTACTTGTTCTCTCTTGCATTCTCACTTCTTCCCACAAATTTTTCTTTATCTTTCTCCTCCTCTTTTCTCTCTGGCCACCAATTTCTTTGTCCTCCACAGCCACTCAATTTCTTCCTCCGATCCTACTTTCTCTTCTGCGCTCCATTTTTCTTTCTAATTATATAGTTCCTAATCATCCCACTATATTTTTAATATTGGAAGCAACTAGACAAGCATCATCTTTCTTCTCCTTCTTCTTGTTGTAGGTACCAAATTTCTTTACAAAATGGCTTGGTTTCTCAGCTTCTTGTTTCTCTTTCTCGTCTCTTTTGCTGCTGCTTGTGACCGTTGTATTCATCAATCCAAGGCTACTCATAACGATGCACCTACTTCAGGTAACAGCTTTGAATTTTGGAGTAATTGTTTGATCGAGATTGTCAAGATATATACACATGATTTTTTGTCATAAAATGTTTTATAATAATTTCAAATGAAATTGCATTGTAACGTTGGTTAATTTATTTGGTACGGTTAAATTTGATACAGACGGAGGAGCATGTGGTTATGGCAACTTGACATTTGAATTTTCCAATGGCTACTCTGCCGCTGCTGGGCCTAATCTCTACAAACAAGGAGCTGGCTGTGGTGCCTGCTATCGAGTATATATTTTCTTTTTCTGTCCTTTTTCGAGACATTTTTTTAATTAATATTCATAGGCTTTCATCTTAAAACTAATTAACCATAAGAAGAATAATAGATGTCTATTGTAAATTCTGGTTAGGTCTCTTATCTTCAATTTGAGATCCGTAACATACCCTTGAAGATCATGGTTCTTTTTTGGTTCATCGATCTTGACCGGATATCATTTTTAGACCAAAGACTTGTTTGAGCTTTTTAGACTCTGATGTCATATCAATAATTATGAGATTTTATCTCAAAATCAATTGATARTTTATGTCTATTATAAACTCTTGTTAGGTTTTTTATCTTTCATGCGAGATGCTTAATATTTTTTATATATTTTGATTAAGTTACTAAGTGTAATAGTAGTGTATTTAATTTTGTAGGTAAGATGTAAGAGCAAAAACTTGTGCAATACAGCAGGGACCAAAATAGTTTTGACAGATCAAAACTTCGATAAGAGAACGGATTTTGTCCTCAGTACAAAAGCTTTCTCTGCAATGGCTTTACAGCGAAAGGAACAAGAACTTATGACTTCTGGAATCGTTGATGTAGAATACAAAAGGTAGTGGACCCTATTTTTGTTATATAAACTAATCAAAATCATTTATTTCAGTGGATTTCATCGGTATTTATAGTATTCTATCTCAAAACTAATTGGCAAGGGTGGAGCAGTTCATGTCTATTATAAACGGGATCCTTAACCGTTTCTATGTTGTTGTAGGGTACCTTGTGTACACAAAGACAAAAGTTTAGCTGTGCGAGTGGAAGAAACAAGCTCTAACCCAAACTATTTAGCCATCAAATTTTTGTATCAAGGKGGCCGGACAGAAATAGTAGCTGTTAATGTAGCTGGAGTATGCTAAAATCTCACGCCAAGTTATAAGTTTTGTATAAAAAAAGGGAAAATATTTGGCTCTTACCAATGATGACATTCGTTAAATGAATATTTTTTAAAAAGAAATAATAAGTTGTCAATTTTTTAGTGGGGTGAAGACAGCCAAGTACTTTTCTAAAAAGAGTTGAAATATAACGACCAATTCTTCGTTTTTGATATTGTAGGTCGGTTCAAATGATTGGGTAAACTTAAGTAGAAATTTTGGAGCTGTTTGGGATACTAGAAGAGTGCCCAAAGGAGCATTGCAGATGAAAATGGTGGTAACTTCAGGGTACGATGGAAAGCCAGTGTGGATAAAATCTGTTCTTCCTGCTAACTGGAAAGCTGGAATCATTTACGATACTGGAGTTCAAATTAATGATATTGCCAAAGAAAATTGCCCTGAATCGGAATGTGGCGATGCACCATGGGAATGAATATGGGGTGAGTTCAACGAATTTCTTTAGTCATTTAAAATATACTTTATGCACATGAGTTTTTATTAAATTTTTTGATACCATTATCCAATAAGTTTCTTTTATATAGTCAATATGAGCATAGTTCGTATAGTTTCCGAAGAAAATGTGTAGATTCTTCCTCGTTTGTATAATTCCATTATTGAATAAATAAAATATTTAAAGTCATTTGGCTTGCCTTGTACATACATTATATTGCTACTTTAAAGAAATATTGTTGGGTATTTATGATGAGGCGTAAGAATATTTGTCATATTTGACAATATAACAATAGTTTTTTGGTTTTTCGAATATAGAAAAAAATTTTAAATCAAATTTTTATTTGTAAATAGCCAACATTATAACTTGATTTCAGGTATATTATTAATATAACCTAATGTACGTAACAAGAAATATATCACTAGTATTCTTTATATTTGATATATTAGTTAGTTTATGTACTGAATATAAAGTATAATTGATGTTGTTGGGATTGAAGACAAAACAATGGGGAGTAAAAAAAAATTGAAAAACGGGTTAAGGCTGCTACTAGTTGTTGGACCTAAAAGAAAAAAAGAACACAAGGCCCAACTATTAAGTTATTCATAAATTTAGGTTTGGCAGGTGAAAACCACATGGAGGAGATGTTGAGGCACAAAAATCAGAGTGGCGACTATTTTGTGTTAGTGCACAAAAGTGGGAGTGGCGGCAGTGGTGTTATTTGACAGAGAAGAAAAGAAGAACTTTGGTTTGTAAAGCATTATCGACAACCTGTTCTCGTGAGGTTAGTGAGAGGTTTTTTTTTTCTGTATTTCTAAATAATTATTGTCGTAGTGCTTAGAAGCTAAGTGACCATTAGAGCGTCTGTGATACCTATTGTATTTATCCCAATATCATAGTAAAACTCATTGTCGCGAAAGATTGGACGTAGCCCATAATTGGGTGAACCAGTATAAATTTGCTTGTGTGACTTAGTTTTCACTAATGAACTGTGGAAGGGGAAAATATTATTGGTAAGTAAATTTTCCCAACAAGTGGTATCAGAGCTGTAAGATTCCGCGTCATGGTGAGATGGTGAGAACAAGGAATGAGAACAAGGAATGAGAGATTCTCCAAGGTCAGAGGAACTAGGGAGGTGCATATGAGGACTGACAGTGGGACCAAGTTAATATTGTATGATGTGAGGTATGTAACCAATTTTAGGATGAATTTGATATCGGCGAGGAAACTGAATGACGAAGGCTACATAAGTGAGTTTGTAGAGAACAAATGGAAACTCATGAGGGGATCCGAGGTAGTGTTTGTTGGCCACATAAAAGCTTCCATGTATCTGTTGAGGTTTGGTGTTGTTAGAGGATTAGCGAGACAGATTATTCACCAGACTGCAGATAGTTCAGAGGGAGACTTGAAAGAACTAGCAGCATTAACAGTAGGAACATATCAGGAGAATCTGCCATCAGTTCAAGTACAACAGTTGGGAAGTAGAGGAAAGGGAAAAGGGAACAACTAAGTGAGGTATTCAACAAACTGTCAGTTTCGAGCTCCAGTTGTCAGACGAATTAGCGAGCTGATGAAGYCGCGTAGGTTAAAGTTTGCATTAAGAAAGTCTACAGTTGGTGCTGAGGTCGGTGGTGGTGTCTCTAGGGTGGCACCGGACTTGGGTGGGAGTGCCAAATCATTAGTGAAAAAACTTTCCTTCAAGAGTCATTAGGTGCGAGTGAAGAAGGAAGCGTCAAGGACCACTTTGTTTGAGTGGGAGCACGTGGTTGTGTCTCTTATGTTTGGGAGACAATACTATATAGGATTGCTCAGTCTCAGGGCAATCACAGATGAAGCCTTGGTTGGTACTAAGAAGAAGTTAGAAACTGTCAGTGCAGT